GTGTGCAGATGGCAGATGATGAGTACACTTAGAAGGAAAACTAACTGCTAGAAACAGAAGAAAATGTTAGGTTGAAGCTAATAATTAAAAAGGACATCAGTTTCACAAAACAAGAGACCAAAAACTAAAAAACATGGTAAAATATATAGAGAAGTAGCTTTTAGAACTAAGGCAAGAAACTAAGGCTAAGAGTAAAACCAATGTAGAACTTACCTTGCTGAAAATCAAGTCAGTAACAGGAAAGACAAATTTAAGAAAACTTACATAAAGTGTAGATTAAAGCAATTATTTGAAGAAGTTAGAATATACATTCAATATAGTCAATCAGAAAAAAATAATCTACACTTCATAAAAGCTTTGATTTTAATATTTTAGTAGAATAAAACTTCATGTATTGCCTTTTTGTGGGATAAATTTAAAGCAAGTCACCTAAAGAGGAAAATAACAGGCCTCAGACTTTTCCTTAGCAAGGTTAGTCTGCAAAAATCAGTGGTGCAACAAGTAACCAAAATTTAGGAAGTCAAAAGAGTATGATTGCAAAATAAAATACTAATTTTGTCTGATGTTTAGTTATAGGGGCAACAAGACATTGCAATATTTAGAACAACTCAGAAAATACAGTATTCCTGTGGTCTTATTAAAAAATTTACTTCATAACCCAGCTGAAAGATAAATTGTGAATTTTAAACAACAAAACTGCCAATGAGAAATTGTGATATAAGAAGCCTGGTAGTAATTACGGGTCATTTAAAATTAAAATAAAATCTAATATGATAATAATAGACTGAAATAGTTATTCTAGAACTTGTCAACAAAAATAGACAAGCACATGAGAAAAAAGGTAATTGAATTTCCTTTTCTCACCAAAATAAAACCGAATTGAAGCAGATGACCCCTATTTATCCTATTTACAGTAATGCTATTTTAAATTGAAAGTGAGTGATTGCAAATACTTCAGGATTAGTGTTACAAAAATCATAAACTCACAAGAAAATTGCTTTAAGAAATGGCTCATAATAAAATGCTTTTAAAAACTTGTATCATAAATCTAAAGGGTTAATATCCCTAAGTATGCAAAAAACTTTTATAAACTTATAAGAAAAAGTAACCAATAGAGGACATTAAAAAGAAATCCAATCTAGTAAATAAGCAAAGAAATACATAAGATTGTAATCTTTGGCCAGGCGTGGTGGTTTACGCCTGTAATCCCAGCACTTTGGGAGGCCTAGGCGGGCAGATCACGAGGTCAGGAGATCAAGACCATCCTGGCTAACATGGTGAAACCCCGTCTCTACTAAAGATACAAAAAAAAATTAGCTGGGCATGGTGGCAGGTGCCTGTAGTCCCAGCTACTCGGGAGGCTGAAGCTAAAGAATGGCGTGAACCCGGGAGGCAGAGCTTGCAGTGAGCCGAAATCGTGCCACTGCACTCTGGCCTGGGTGACAGAGTGAGATTCTGTCTCCAAAAAAAAAGAAAAAAGTAATCTTTTCTATTAGATTAGATTAGTAAATTATGGACAAAATCCAAACTAGATTGGAGTATACAGAAGTGGACTTTTCTGTGTGGTCTTGATGAAAGACCTATTTGGCACTGCCTTTCTGGAGGGAAGGTTAGCAGCGTATCTCACCATGGCCAATATAATCCAGCAGTCCCAATTTCGGGAGTTTATTGCAAAAGATAATTGGAGTTTTGGAAAGATCTTAATTGATCATTTCTCTTTACTTTGGATTCTTAACCAATGGAGGACATCAAAGCCAATTTGGGAATACATACTTCTGATCTATTATTAACTGTATTTAGACCTCTCTCCTACTGATAAGACTTAAGAATGTATGAAGGCTTCCTACTTCTCCTTCCTTACTAAATACTAATCCTTTTATGTTCATTACAATTTTTTTTCCCCGTCTGCAGCTTGTCCTTTCAATGTAGTTAGATTGTCTCTGGTTCTCCAGAAGTGTTTCATTTGTTTAACAAGGGCCAACTTATTAGTCTTTTTCTTTATGGTTTGTATTTTGTGGTGTCACTTTTAAGAAATTTTGGCCTATCCAAATGTCAGTAATATATTTTTTTATTAAACGTTTGTAATTTTTGCTATTGCCATTTAAATCTTTAACCCACATGGATTTTATTTTAATGTATTGTATGGGATGGTATTTTATTTTATTTTCCATTTGGATAACCAATTCTCTCAGCACCATTTTTGAAGAATTTATACTTCCTCTACTGATTTGAAATAATACCTCTGCCATATACCAGGCTCCCACATGTATTGGGTCTGTTTCTGGACTTTCTACATATTCCACTGGCCTACTTACTTATCTCATAACAATACCACAAGTTTTCACTATTGTGGAAGTTTTCATACTGACTTTCACTTAAGAGTAAATGATACTGTACATTGAACATTGAGAAATAAACCTTGCCAAGTAATGTCCAGTGCAAATTAAAGTTCCCTGGCTAATAGACTAAAACCCTGCCACCACCATCATCAGGATGTCTGTATCTGCCATTTGAATCGAATGCCTGAAAAAATGTATCAAAGTGCATAGTGACATGCAATATAAAAAACTGACCTTATTGACCTAAAAATTAAAAATATACAATGTTCACATATATACATATATGTACATATGTATGACATAACAGGAAATTCAGAGATAGATTAACTTCAAAGTTAATTGAGTCAAGGTCTAAATAGTATCATCGAGAAATGAGGCTTAATCTTAGAACCCATTTTTCTTAGGGTTACAAGATAACTGGCAGTAGCAACTAAAGCCACTTATTTGCTCTTTTTTATTTTTATTCAACAGGAAAAAAAGAAACTTCATCCTCTGTTATGAATTATTTAGAATAATTTAGGAGCGTGCCCATCATAGAACAACAATTATTATTGAGACATGCTATATACCAAATGGCATTAAGGCAAGGGGTGAAATTACCATGATTAGCTTAGAATAATCAGAACTCGCTTTTGGGTTTGAGGTCTACCCTGATAACCACTGTAGATGAAATGGATGTTGAAGAAATAGACCCATATCAACATCAGCTTTATTTGTTCCCAAATTTGTTTAATCTTGCTATATTTATTAATCTGATTATATCATTTATTTTGATGTTAAGAATAATAAGGACTTCCATTTTTGAAGATGGCAGTAAAAAGTTGTCACACACGTATTACCCCTCTCAAAATCACATAAAAACAACAAGGAAATACCACCTTCATCTTTGTCAAAACCAAGAGAATGCTAATGGTCCAAACCACAAAATATAAAGATAATGGCTACTGTCATTATAGATCAACCAGAAGTGCAGGAGAAAATATAAGGAAGGATGCTCATAGTCACAGAGCTTAGAATGAGCTAATATCTATATATCTATATCTATATCTATATCTATATCTATATCTATATCTATATCTATATCTATCTACCTATCTATCTGCTAATCTCCCAGGAGGAGAAACCCTAAAGTACCATTCCAGGAACGCTTATCTGCAATAGCAGGACCAGGGTGTGCAGGCTTGGAGCAGATTCTTTCTGTAGCACAGGAAATTGACTGTTTATATGATAATCAAGAGAGCCTATCTGTTCTTTTCTTTCTTTTTCCTTATCAATTAAAAAAAAAAACAAGTGCTAGAATAATTGACACAAAGTTACTTCATACAGAAAATGCCTACTAGCTTGTAACTTGGCCAGGTCTCCACCTCCAGTGTACTTCCCAAAAGTAGATATTCAAGGACAAAAACTCACTTCATCCAAAGATAAGGTGTAAACAAAGAATATGCATTCCAGGACACTGCAAGAAAAAATAGAAGAGGAACAGGAAAGAGAAATAGCAAATCAAACACACCAGAAAGATACAACCATGAGCAGACAAAAAAGATAATCAACTATTTTATCATGAATTTTAAAACATATGAAGCAATTACAAAAAGCATACAACAGAGATATAAAAGTTCAAGGAAGAGATAAAGAAATAAAAGATTATAAAACTTGTTTTTAAGAAAGAGTAGAAAAGGAAAGATCTTGCAGAATTTGGGGGGAAATTTAGAGCCACCCACAGAAGAATTAACACTGCTGAAAACACACTAAGACACACAGAAGACGGTAATGAGAAAAGTATCCAAAATGAAAACAAAATAGACTTGAAAAATTTTTAAGGTTGAGGAGAAAATTATAACTCTAGAAAAAAATGACTAAAATATACATAATTGGAATTCTTTTTAAAATATAGCAGAATGAACTGGGTGCAGTGGTTTACGCCTGTAATCCCAGCACTTTGAAAGGCTAAGGTGGGCAGATCACTTGAGATCAGGAGTTCGAGACCAGCCTTGCCAACATGGTGAAACCCCCTCTCTACTAAAAATACAAAAAAATTAGTCGGGCGCAGTGGTGAGCACCTGTAATTCCAGTTACTCTGGAGGCGGAGGCAGGAGAATCGCTTGGACTGGAGAGGCAGCAGTTGCAGTGAGCCAAGATCACACAACTGCGCTCAGCCTGGCCGATGGAGCAAGGCCCTGCCTTAAAAAAAGAAAGTGTGTGTATATATATGTGTGTGTGTATGTGTGTGTGTATATATATGTATACATATCATAATATTTAACAATTTAGTTCCAGAACATTTTCAGAAATAAAAGAAACTTAATTTTATAAATGCAAAAAGACATTGAATTTCAGAGAAAAAAATACTAGTAAAATTGCTATACATACACAAGGAAGAAAGAAAGGGAAGGGGGAAGACTGAGGAGAACCAGAAAATAAAGAGGAAGAGGAGGCAGGAGACCAAAAATAGAGTTTGCTCCCCCCTCCTCGTTCTGTCTCTCTCTATTTCTTTTTTGAATGTCATTTTGGTTTTATGAAGTTTGATGTAACTGAATATTTTCAGATTATGGGCATTATAGAATTTTCATTAAAGAAAAAGACCTGTTTTCAAAACTTAGGAAAAGAAATGGTTCTATATCTAATCTGACTTAATGTGTGGATTTTTCTTTTATTTTACAGAAAACTGGGAACATTTTTGAATTTCAAAAACCTTGAAACTTGTTTAAAGGATGCTATTCTACTAGATTATTATGTATCTGGATTTTTGTGGGCTAGAGGAATGGAGTTTTCTATTATTCAGTATTCAAAATTTATGACTTTACTAGCTATGTTACTTCAAAATCTTAAAAGTAAGTACATTATTTTTCTTTTTTTAAGTAAAACAAATTCAGTTTACCATCTAAATTGAGGTTCTTAAGCAAAAGTTACAGATTTTATTGTAATTTCTTTAATGAAAAATAAGGGTTTTTCCTGAGTATAGCCAAATATATAGTTCACATCTCCATTGAGTTATAAAACCTCAAGTAATACTTAACAAAGGTTACAGTTTTCTTAATAGTCAATTTGCCAAAGATATGTTAATTTCATTTTAAAGTTGTATCAGTGTCATTCACCCTCTAAATATCTGAGGACTCTGTGATATTCTTGTAACCTTTCCGTAAATTTAAAACTACACTGAAATTAAAAGTTTATCAGTAATGGTTAGCCATCTCTAGAATAGAATACTAGGAAGCTATAAAAAGGAAAAAATGAAGAAGCTTTCTGTGTACTATATGAGAAGCAATATATAGTTATTAAGTAAAGCAAGGTGCAGAACTACATGCTTTCATTTATAAAAGAGGCAAAAACAAGAATCTATCCATATTTTTATTTATGTGTACACAAAGAAATGCTGGAAGATACAGAAAAAAACTAATAATAGATATTCCCTGGGGTGAATGGTAGTAAGAACCGGGCATGTGGGCAACAGATATTGGAGGAAGTCTTTTCATAAGATTTCTTCGTTTGTATTTTTGAAATATGAATACATCACTTACGCAAAAATTAAATTTTAAAAGAGAATATGTAACATGGACAGTCCTAAGTTTTGGCAACTTCTGAGCTGAGTATTCATACACTAGAAATAGAATAAAGGAAAGTAAAAATTTTCATGGACCTCACATCCCAAATTTGAGAACATATTTCTTTTTTAACCTTTTCCCGTAACTTATAACTGACTCAATAACATTTTTTTCTAGATGAAACTTTATATTGTTGATATTACTGCAAAAATGAATTTCTAAAACCTAAGCAGGATCCCTCCAGCTCCTCATAAACCATGAGAAAGAAAGTACATATGTAGAACCTAACCAGAAAAAAAGCAAGGAATCTAGTTTTACCTTCTGGCAGAAAAAAAAAAAAAAAAAATCCCTCCACACTTTTAAACTGAACAAAGTTATAGTCATCATTAGGAAAGAATGTAATTTTAGCCAAATGTGCCAAGGAAAAAGGTAAAGTATGTTTACACTTCAACTAGGTAGCAGTAGAGTCCTGAGCACATAGCCACCACTCCCATTCAGCAACGTCATAATAGAAAAAGCCCAAAAGCGCACACTCCGGGCCTCTGGCAGGGGTGTACTCTGTCCAGTGTGGGAATTCCGTTTCATGCTAGCTCAGTCTCTGATCGATCCTTGTCTCAAACTTGGCTGCATATCTACCAGGCATTCTACAGTCAACCCATCTGGAATCAAATTAGATCAAGCTAACAAATATGGGACACAGAATTTGGAGACTCGTCTTAACAGTATATATTGTGAGGTCTGGTTTTTCTAGGACCTGACCGAACATAAGCTGTAGAGCAAGTGTATCCAACCCATGGCCCGCAAGCTGCATGTGGCCCAGGACGGCTTTGAATGCGGCCCAACACACGTTCGTAAAGTGTCTTAAAACATTACGGGATTTCCCTTGTGATTTTTTTTATGCTCATCAGCTATTGTTAGTGCTAATGCATTTTATGTGTGGCCCAGGGCGATTCTTCTTCTTCCAGTGTGGCCCAGGGAACCTAAAAGATTCGACGTTCCCACTGTAAAGTATTGGATAGACTGGATATTGGGCCTCCAGCCAGGTCCATAGGCCTAGATGGACTCCCCTCTGTATGATGTGAATGTTTGCAAGTAACTGTAGAATATTTTTTAGTTCTTATGATGCTAAATTGGTTTTCCCCTCAATAGGAACGGCAAATTCAGGTAACATTTATGTAGATTAACTTGTGCCAGTCATAGTGTCGATTGCTTTAAAAATATTGTCTTATTTAATTCACATGCCACCTTATGAGAGAAATTGGTAAGAGTCAGAGGCGTTCAGTGACTCCTTAAGGTCACACAGGGTCCACACTAGCAAGTGAAGGCCCATCCTCTTAAATACTACATCAAATGTGCTGGCTTCGGGCTAAATCTAGAAAGCACTATACACGTGTAATAGTACCAGGAGTTCCATATGAACTTTTTTTTGTTGAGACAGAATCTAGCTCTGTCGCCTGGCCGGGCTGGAGTGCAGTGGCATGATCTTTGCTCGCTGCAACCTCTGCCTCCTGGGTTCAAGCAATTCTCCTGCCTCAGCCTCCCAAGTAGCTGGGATTACAGGCACACGCTACCACGCCCAGCTAATTTTTGTATTTTTAGTAGAGACGGGGTTTCACCATGTTGGCCTGGCTGGTCTCGAACTGAGCTCAGGTGATCTGCCCACTTTGGCCTCCCAAAGTGCTAGGATTACAGGCGTTAGCCACTGTGCCCGGCCATGAATTTCTTGTTTAATCCTCACAACGGCACTATAATTTTGAAAACAGGTATTGCAGTATTCTCATTTTACATAGAAAGGAAATGAGGCCAGATGTAGTGGCTCATGCCTGTAATCCCAGCACTTTAGGAGGCCAAGGCAAGGGAAGCATTTGAGGCCAGGAGTCCAAGACCAGCCTGAGCAACATGGAGAAACCCCATATCTAAAAAAAGACTGAAAAATTAACCGGGTATGGTGGCCCACATCCGTGGTCTCAGCTACTTGGGATGCTGAAGTGGGAGAATCGCTTGAGTTCAGGAGGCTGAGGCTGCAGTGACCCATGATTGCATCATTGCATTCCAGTCTGGGCAACACAGCAAGACCCTGTCTCCAAAAATAAATAAATAAATAAAAAGAGACTCAGGTCACCTAACTACTAACAGTAAAGGTCAGTTATGAGGTATCATCCTACATTTTCCAATTAATTTTAAGTCTGGTATGTTCTTTCGTTACTCTAAATTTTCAAGAATACATTTTGTTTCTAGAAGCTTTTGCTATTTGAGTGGTTTAATCTTTTATATTTTAATCACATCACTAAATGTGATTTTTAAAACAGCAAATATTTCAGTTCGATAAATGAAATTATAACTTCCCTAATTTTTAAAGCAATTATCTACAGAAAGACATTAGACATAGAAAAACAGTTTTAAAGATTCAACTATTTTCAGAAGGAAATAGTCATATAAATTGTTTTTGTTTGATAAGTGTAATTTCATCTAGAATTATAATCAATTATCTAAGAATTTCTCTTTTCTCTGCATCTCTAATTAATATCATTTTATTAATAAAATGATTCAGATTTTCCATTTATTTATGAATTGCTTTTATCCAACAGATTTTTCATTTCTGAAGCTACTTCCACTATTATCAAAAGAAGTTTATCATGGAGAGAGAAATGTACAATAATAATTGAATTCCACTTAGAATGATATAGGAAAACCTAGTTATCCAGAAATAATTCACTGTATCTGACATACATAAAAGATGATCTGGAGGGAGGCAATGGGAAATGAACCAATTGTAATTCATTAAACCAGATTTTAATTGTTGTATATAGTTTTTATGCTTCTTTCTAATTCCTGTAAGTAGAAAAGAAGCTATACTAAACAAATTACAAGTTCGTGTTTATAGTGTCTTCCTAATATTTTAAATTACTTTCCTTTCACCTTATTAGTAATTTTGGTATTTAGGGTAGAGCACTTACACCCCAGTGGGAAAGAGCAGCTGTTTAATCCAGAAATACCTGGTCCAGCAATCAGCCTATGTTCTCGTAACTTCTTTTAATCTCCACCCCCTCCCTTCCAAATCAACTCCATTACAACAAGTGTAATGTTGACTGATGACTTCAGAGAGAGAGACAGGGATTTGGTTGGTGGGGTCCACACTGAGCAGCACAATTCCCGCAGATCCCACATTCAGGCTCCCCGCTGACATTCACCTCCCCCAGGCGGCCAGTCCAGCCTGGCTTTAGTGTCTTTCTACTCTCCACCTCCAGCATCCTCGGTTTCATGTCCACATACCCATCGCTTTTCCGCAAACATAGGACAATCTGGCCAGTCCACTTACCTGACTCCATCTTCCCGGGGAAGGGTGGATAGTGTATGTGTGGGTTGTAAATAATATTTTATCTGTCACAAGTAACACTGAGCATAACGGAACCAAATGAGAAAAGAAAATGGAAGTTTATGTTTTTATTACAGACACTTTAAAAGTTAAGTCTAAGGTGTTCATTTTCAACTGGACAAATGCCACACAAGACAGTTTCAGGTGTGTGTTTGCGCTGGTGTGTAGCTGTGAGAGAATAGACGAGAATCACTGAACTGTTTACTTCTGGTGGTGGTGGCCAGGTTGTGTCACTCTGTGCATTTTCATCTGGCTCTCACCAGCACCACAGGGCAGACATTTGAGAAACAGCTTACATGAGTTATAAGTCTGTGGCTGTGGAAAAGAAAAAAAAAAAAACTTGATGTTTTACATAAAAATCCCTATTTCTGACTTCCACTGAAAATCTTCAGACCCAGATTTACACATGGAAACAATTGGCTAAAGCCCGGTGTTGATTGACTCCATTCATTTACATTTTCAGCTCTAAGTTCAGTTCTGCTGTCTAGTAACTGAACCTCCCATCTAAGTCTTCCATTCCTCACCAGCTGTCAAACATCTTTTTTTGTAGTTTTCATGCTTTTATTCTAAGATTGTAGAAAAAAGAAAAAACAAACCCTTTTCATTTTAAAGATTTTAAAGTACAATTTGAACTTTTTTCTTTTTTTTTATCCTAAAATGGAATCATAAATTCTACAGACAATTGTGTAGCATTATAGTAATTCACAAATGTTGGGGCGGGGTCAGTTGCTATTCCTGAGACAGAGTCTCACTCTGTCACCCATGCTGGAGTGCTGTGGCACCATCCCAGTTCACTGCAACCTCTGCCGCCCAGGCTCAAGCCATCCTCCCACCTCAGCCCCTCAAGTAGCTGGGACCACAGGCATGTGCCACCATGCCTGGCTAATTTTCGGAATTTTTGAAGAGACAGGATTTCGCCATGTTGCCCTGGCTGGACTCTAACTCATGGGCTCAGGTGATCCACCTACCTTGGCCTCCCAAAGTGCTGGGATTACAGACTTGAGCCACCGTGTTCAGCCAGCTGCTATTCTTCTGCATAAAATGTATTAATGTATTAAGAAGAAACAAGAGTTTTACCATTTATCCTCACAAATACTTAACAAAGTAAATTTTGGCACATTAAAAACATCTTAGATTATCTTATTCTGAAAACATCCATCAAAATAATACTTAAGATCTCTCTGGATTTTATTTCAGCACTACATATGTCCTTAGAGGACAGCATAAAATGGCTTGGAGAAGTTATGGCTGAAATAGGACCAACACATTCACAAAAAAGTGAGGACTGGAATATCTTTGATGTAAAACAAGCCAATGCTATCATTGATTACTTAAAAATCAGGTATGGATTATTTTCAGTAACATTTATTTTTCATTTCACATCTTCTGGAAAATATCTGTTAAGTAAAAAGTAATTCAGTTTTTGGCAAATTCAGATATTTACAGAATTTATGCTGTAATTAGCCCAACCAATAATTAGGTAATTAAATCTTCTTTAAATTAGATGTTCAAATCTTTCATCTAATAACTAAAAGTCAGAAGAGTGAATAGTTTGGCTAACTTTGCATTCCCAGAAAAAAAGGTTTGCGTTTGATAAATATAATTTCATCTAGAATTAAAATAAATTAAGATTTCCGTTTTCTTTGCATCTCTAATTAATATTTATTAATAGGATGATTCAGATTAATCAGATGCAATTACAATAGACTCTATATTTTAGGTAGTTGATCTTTCCAACTACCTGATTCTACATTTTGAAGAGCAACATTCATTGCTATTTAAATATTTATTTTGAATGCTTCGTATTAGAAATTGAAGAGATTTATGAATATACTTCCTCAAATTTATTACATCCCCTGAAATATCTTGTAATATTGACCAATTAAACTCATTAAGTCTTTCTTACTGCTTAGAAAATGATGGAAGGAAAAGTATTTTTATTACAGTGATTCTTCATTGGTGAACTAAGAAATTTGTCTTTTTATATAATCTGTCACAAGGTCTCCAGTAGAGTCATGCATCTCTCTAAAGGGACATTTTTAGAGTTTGCAAATATTCAAACAAGAGTAGGTTAAAATCTTTTGTCAAGCTGAAAGCTTCTGCATAATATTTTTGTTTCTCTTATACTATATACTCCAGTGTTTTTCAACTTTAAAATTTAAAATTCTAAAATAAGAGTGCTGACTGATATCCTAGACATGCTCATGATTTGCTTGGCAAAGATTCTAGCTGAAATCTAGAAAGCTTTTTAAATACTAGTGTGTTTAATATGATAAAGTTTATATATTGGTTTCTGGCATGAATTAATAATGTCATATGATATAATATGGTTTTTACGTAATAGCATTTGATATAATGTGGTTTCTTAATATTAAAACATAGCTCCTAAGGGGTATCTCTCAGTAAAAGCCGAAGTAGTTTTCATATCAATTAAAGTAAGGCAAGGTCCTTGTGTTGGGGGAGATGATGGCAATCCAGAATTGGAGGAGAGCCTATTCCTGAAGGTCTTTCTACCCGTCAGGGTTTGGTAATCACTGGGCAAGAGGAATTCTACTTTGCACATTGTGTTAGCATTCTTCTTTTCCTTCTCTATTTGAAAAATCCCAGTTTCTCTTGCAGAACACATTTTTAAAACTGAGCTAGCCCAGGAAGTTTCTAATGGGCACAGGGACTGATAGTTAACCAGGGCCACAAAACCCATGCCATAATGACCCCTTCTAGAAGGTAAAGGATGGCAGCTCTTTTCCCCTTCATCTTGTCTCTCTGGGCAAATGTTCATTGACATATTTCTTGATATTGTCCTTCAGAAAACAATTAAGTTAAGAGAGGATGTCACCTTTAGATCCTAACCAGGGTAATTTCGCATATTATAAATCCCTAATATTATTACTTCACTAAAAATAAAACGAAAAGTAGTATTTAAGAAATTAGTCAAAGTAAATCACAACAATTATTGATGCTGTTAAGTCTTCATATTGTTATTTCAAAGAAATTATGCAATTTAAATATCTCTATTACAGAACTATAAAATATCAGTTAGTAGGATATCTGGAATTGATTCTGAAGTTGTGTAAAAGAAAATATGCTTTTCTACAACACCTGTTGAGAATCCCTCAAAAGTCCACAAATGAGAGTTTAGGGGGGACTGGGAGGAGGGGCAGCATCAAGAAGAATAACTAATAGATGCTGGGCTTAATACCTAAGTGATAGGTTGATCTCTACAGCAAACCACCATGGCACCCATTTAAACCTACACATCCTGCACATGTACCCTCAAAGTGAAAAGTTGAAGGAAAAAAACAGTTTAATAACAACGAAATCATATAATATTTTTCATTTTGATTACTACAAAGCAATGTTATAAATATGAAGGCAACCCAGTTATCAAAAGTATAAGTGTTTGAATTTAACCCGATACTAAGTTTACCCAACCACTAAAAGCCCTAGTCAATTTAGGTAGAGCAGTTTTTAGAACATGACCTACAGCACATGAAACTTAACTGACGATAAAATTGAAATTTCATTTGATGCCCTTAACACACTCTGTCATGTGTCTGTGATTTGAAAAAAACTAATGCCAAATTTCCTCCCCTACATGACTGTAAGTACTGGCAAATCTAGCTGTACAAATCTAGTTTTACATTTGTACAATGTATTGTATAATGTATACAAATATAAATACTTCTGCAGCTTTTTAGTATAAAACACCATTTACATATATATGGCCCAAGTACATGTCTGTCATTGTGGATTCTACCTATTTATGGGAATTAGGCGATAGTAATCTCAGGTGTACACTCAATATAAGAGGCAGGTACCCAAAATAAGAAAATCAACCCTGCCGCTCTGTAAACCACAGGGTATTGCATTTCCAGGCATCGAGCCAGACATCTTGAATTATTTTCACTTCATCTCTCTTCAATTTAGAACTAAGACTAAATGTTTGACAAAATAATCTAGGAAGTTGAGTCAGTCAGAAGAGGAAGAAAATGCATTATCGCAGTTGAAGTGTCACTTTGTTCCCATACAGCACTACCTAATCGCTCCTGGTAAATCTGGACAAGTCCTGGCCTTGCCCCCAAGTCTGCACCTTTGACCACCACATCCAAATCATGCATTTTATTTTCAGTGTTAAGAAGTGAATTTCCCTCTTGGCATGGGACAACCTAATTCCTATATGCAGTGAAAAGAATAAGCCTGAAAGATTATGAAATTTCAGGAAGGAAGATCTATGAACTAAATTCTTTGTGTGACACAAGATAGAGAAAGGGAAATTTTATGCTGGTTCACTGAGAGGAAGCCAAGCTGTTTCCAAAATACTCTATAGTCTTTAATTTTTCTACTTAAAATCGGTTGTTGCCAGTGTAATATTTTTGACCTTAAGGCTTTCTCTAGATAACCAGTGTAAGTTAGGGAGAGTTTGAATTTATTTTGTGTCATTGAATTATCAGACTTCACTAATCTTGATGTATTTTTCTAGCCAACAAATCAAAGTAATGTCAAAAGCTAAGTTACTTTTCTGAATATTGATGAGTAATTTGAATGTACAAGAGGTTTTTTTCCCCAAAAAATACCATGACAGAGTCTGCACACCCATCACTTTTTAATGGATTGTGTTACTAGTGAGATCAACTGCTAATATAACTCAGAGAGACTCAGCTGCCTGAGGATTTCTTCATTGATTTCAAATGAATTGAAACTTTGATCCATTACAACATCCAGGAGAAGCCATTATTATACATGCTCTGTAGCTACATTTTGCAAATGTTAATTTCTCAGTTATATTAAAATCAATTTCCTTAAATAGCAAAAGGCACCAGAGTGAGAGAGAAACCACTAAGACAATTTTTTGTTCTTGGGCATTTTGCTGTATTATGAGTCTATTAATTTTCTCAACCAGCAGGAAGAGAACGAGAAAAATTCAAATATTATCACAAACAGGATATTAGAAGTCAGCCCTTCAGTAAATTTTTAACTCTTAATAATGCATTGCTCCTTAAACTTACTAGAATACTTATTGTAAGGACCTCCTATCCTTTGGTTCTTTATAGGGTTTTGTATGCTGACCACCTAGTCTTTAGGGTAAGAACTGAAGAAATGATCTTTTTTTTTTTTCTGTCGCCCAGGCTGGAGTGTAGTAGCACGATCTTGGCTCACTGCAAGCTCTGCCTCCTGGGTTCAGGCCACTCTCCCACCTCAGCCTCCCAAGTAGCTGGGACTACAGGCGCCTGCCACCACGCCCGGCTAATTTTTTGTATTTTTAGTAGAGGTGGGGTTTCACCGTGTTAGCCAGGATGGTCTCAATCTCCTAACCTTGTGATCTGCCCGCCTTGGCCTCCCAAAGTGCTGGGATCACAAGCATGAAGGAATTATATTTCTTAAATTAATGTTTCCCTTTCATGTGTGACCGAATATTCTGCAGAAAACTCAGACATTTTCTAAATGGATTTTAATTCATGCGCCCTCATTTTTCAGGTATTATTAGAGATTAATTTAACATTGAAACAGTTTGAGAATGTGAGAAGTAATTGATATAGAGGTAGATTATATAATTCAGTGCCATTTTTCCAGAGGAAAATGACTCCTGTTTGCAGCAAAACATAGCAAATAATGTGAAGTTTCATGTTATTTAGGAATGGTGCATTATTTGCTTTTAAGCTAGGAAAAGTCAAGATGCCATCCAATTTCTCCCTTATTTCTAACTTACCCACTCATTACAGATGGATTTACTGATATTATTCTAGGTATTGTGTTATATTGTCATCTCCTTAAAAACTAAAACTCTTAATTTCTTAGCATTTCCAGACAATTTCTTTTGGAATAAAGGAGGGTACTAACTCTATTTTCGTGTTTGATAGCATTAGCTTAGTCAATATGAAGTTTCCTTTAATAAATGTCTTTACATATTGTGGGTTTTTTTTTTCCTGAAATCAACGTATCAGAGTGCACATTTATTTTTATTTCAGCTTATTTCAACACTACAAGCTATACGAGTTTATGTTCTTCTCTGCCAGGGAAGAAATTGTGATAGGAACTGAGGTAAGTAATTTATCTAGATGGAACCAATTAAGCAGAATCACTTAATGCATGCTGATCAGCATCTGGATCTTTAACTGCTTAAAGCAACTTCTTGTCAAGATTATTCAAGTGTTAATATAACCAACTCGTAGTTTGCAAAAAGAATAATTGTATAAAGCGATCTTTGGATTAGGAAAATAAGCTGTCTTTTGGCATTAAAAGCATTGTTAATCATTTATACTTTGTGTATTTATGGATTATTTGACAAAGTTCTATTGGATAAGGTACATATGTCTTCATAAAAATAAAATCAGAAAAACTGATAAACTAGTAATTTACAAAAAGAATAATTATACAAAGTAAATGTAATGATAACTCAGTGAAATCCCTTCTAATTTCGCTTTTTTTTTCATTCTACTCATTGTTTAAGACCTAATTTAAATCCCACTTCCTCAATGAATCAAACTTACCTTAATTGTATCATAATCCCAAACAAAAGGTTTAGACAAACTCTGTAATCAATCCTATTATTGTGTGCCAACTGATCTCTTATTGCTGAGTTTGGGCTACTATCGCACCAATAAGCATATCAATATTCACCGTGTTATATGGTTTTCTAATTGTTTCCTGTGAGTTGATATAGTCAGTACAACTCAACAGTAATTTTCCTGAAGACAAGGATATCTGCTGCTTTTCTGCTACAGCATATAGTACAATGTTGGATACAGTAACCCCTCAATTAATACTACATAAACAATTCAGTGCCTAGGACAGCAGTTCTACAATGAAAGGTCTATCTGGAGACACTTTCAAACAGGCTTTCTTATAGTCATATATTTGTAATTCCTAGAAATGAATCCTGAGTAGGAAAACATTTTTTTTACTTTATTTTGTTTTATTTTATTTTTTATTATACTTTAAGTTCTGGGATATATGGGCAGAACGTGCAGGTTTGTTAAATAGCTATACACGTGCCAGGTGGTTTGCTGCACCCGTCAACCCGTCATCTACATTAGGTATTTCTCCTGATACTATCCCTCCCTTTACTCCCCACTCCCCGACAGGCCCTGGTATGTTCCCCTCCCTGTGTCCATGTGTTCTCATTGTTCAACTCCCACTTACGAGTGAGAACATGCAGTGTTTGGTTTTCTGTTTCTATGTTAGTTTGCTGAGAATGATGGTTTCCAGCTTCATCCATGTCCCTGCAAAGGACAGGAACTCATCCTTTTTTTATGGCTATATAGTATTCTATGGTGTATATGTGCCACAGTTTCTTTATCCAATCTGTCATTGATGGGCATTTCGGTTGGTTTCAAATATTTACTACTGTGAATACTCCTGCAATAAACATGTGTGTGCATGTGTCTTTATAGTAGCATGATTTATAATTCTTTGGGTATATACCCAGTAATGGGATTGCTGGGTCAAATAGTATTTCTGGTTCTAGATCCTTGAGGAATTGCTACACTGTCTTCCACAATGGTTGAACTAATTTACACTCCCACCAATAGTGTAAAAGCATTCCTGTTTCTCCATATCCTCTCCAGCATCTGTTGTTTCCTGACTTTTTAATGATTGCCATTCTAACTGCCAAGAGGTGGTATCTCATTGTGGTTTTGATTTGCATTTCTCTAATGATCAGTAATGATGAGCTTCTTTTCATATGTTTCTTGGCTACATAAATGTCTTCTTTTGAGAAGTGTCTGTTCATGTCCTTCACCCACTTTTTGACGGGGTTGTTTGTTTTTTTCTTGTAAATTTGTTTAAGTTCCTTGTAGATTCCAGGAAATCATTTTAAGGAGACTAAAGATGCCATTAAAAAATAGTGCTTCTGTAGGTCCTCAATTACTTTAGGGGGCTTTGCTGCCTCCTAGAAGTACCAGGGACAGGAGTGGCAATAATCAGAAATAAACAGTGAGTAAGGGGATATTCACATTACCTTTGTAATTTTCCTGATATTAAGAAACACATGGAACATGCCAGCTATTCTGACTTCCTGGGTATTGTTATTCTGGAATTTATAAATTACTTGCTTCATAAACACCTCAGTCACCATCCTTCACTCTTCATTTGGGTACTTGTTCTAATGCCAGCCTTTTAAAAGTGAACTGCCAGAAAACAAGGAACCCTTTTTGCTTCTGACTTTCCTAAAAATTACTTCTTTGCAGTCTCCTCGTACTGTAGCTTAAATTAGGTGTCACTTGACAAAGTTTCACTGAAAAACGTTTCCATTTCAGAATTACATCATATCGTGTGACAGCCCTTGCAATAATTATCAGTTTGGAATATAATCCTATCTCATCTATTCAAGCAAAACTTTGGGGAAATGATAGTGGCTTCAGTAACAGCATAAGTAGACATTTAGAGTGATCAAGAAAAAATTTCAGAAAGAACTCCCTTTTCCTTTGTTAATTACACAATCATGCCTTTCTTCTATATTGTAAGGATATATTTAGGTGACATTTACACTATGGAAAGATAAAATGGAGAAAGTAGACAGAGATTGGCTGCTTTATTTTCCATTGTCATTTGTATTTTCCCCAGGCTGACCAGGGCAATAAAAAAAAAATCTTTAAGAGAATGATGTTGGGTCTTTAAGAATTAGGCCCCTCATGGCATTTTAAAGGATTAGTGAAAGTATTTTATGACATTTTAGAAGTGTTTGCTAACCTTTGGTAGAAATATCTGTTTTTTAATTAACAACCTTTCATGGAGGAGGTAGGGGCCTGCCCCAGTAATATGATTATTCATGCTGATACCAGGGCTCTGGGACCAAATAATGGCCACAAGACAAACACACGAATGTTTGAAATTTAACTCTTAGGCAAGCATTCAAGTTAGATAACACTGATGAAATTTAGTTTCTTTAATCATGGATAGATGAGAAAAAAACATAAATCCCCTCTAATCATAGAAGTGTCCATTTCATAAGTGAGAACAGAATGATGAAGTAGAATATCACCATTTGTCAACCTTTAATAAAATAATAGATCTAGGCAATGATGATGAGTAGCTCCTGACATCACAAAAAGAAAGAAAACCAGACATCACTTGCTTGTTAATAAAATTATACAAAACCCCATATAAATTGCTCTTGCAGTTTGAACTGGATAGTCTTTTAGTCGGTCTTCTAACACTAACTTCCCATTTACTGGAAATATGGAAGATAAAGGAATATGTTAAGGATATCACAAAAAGGCAATTAGCAAACCAGGGTATAGGAGATTCTATAGGACAGAAGACATGGAATATTCAACAAATAAATATTCCAAGAAATAACAAAAACATAAAAGGTGAACCTGTGGGTTAAAAAAATGACTGAATCAAATTCAGTGTAGGTATCTTATTTGGATCCTACTTCAAACAGACAGATAGACAAGCCAAACCACAAACACAAAACAGTTATGAGACCATCGAAGCATTTGAATATTGGCCACATAGTTGATGATGACTATTACTAATTCCTGGAACTTGTTAGTGTATTCCTTTACATGGTAAAAGGGACTTTGCAGAGTTGATTAAGTTTATGAATTTGAGATGGAGCGATTATTCTAGATTACTGAAGTGGGATCAATGTAATCTCCATGTAAGAGAAAGAGAAAGACAGGAGGGTCAGAGTCAGAAAAAGGGAGATTTGAAGATGTCACACTGTTGGCCTGGAGGTTGGAGGAAGAGGCCACAACTTTATCAACTGTCTTGTCACCTCCTTCTCATAGTTCTTTTTAATCCTTAATTATTATTGTTCATTTTTCTTAAATATGAAATTTAGAAATAAACCTGTGCATATGTGGATTTTTAGTATGTGGCATATACAAATATTTAGTAAATTGGCATGCAAAGTTACTTGGGATAATTGGCTATGTGTTTGTTAAAAACAAATTAGATTTTTACCTTATACCAAACTTAAAACTAAATCCAATTTATTAAGAGGTTCATTTCCCGTAATGGAAGACATATTCCTTAATGGCAAACTATAATTTGGTCAACACTTCCACTGAGAACAACTGGAAAAACTGGACAAGATTGTTTTAAGACTTAAATATTTGAAAGCTCAGCTAGCAAGCTCAAAAAAGATTATGAGCCTGACAGTCACAAATGCTTTCTACCTATAGGCATCTACAAGTTTGGAAAAGGTGGCTAAGAAACTTAAAAGCTGAGAAGTGAAGCTTTGGTAGACACATGGAGCTAGGAGAACAAAAATTGGAGGGGGAAGAGAATATAGCAAATTTTACAAGTAGCATGTTGGGTCTGCACAAGACCACATTTTAGGACATCAGCCCTAACTACCATGGACTGAACTTCAATTCCAAATTTTCTCCATTTCTGGTGGATTCAGGTTAGCTGTGTATAGTGTTGTTAACTTCCTCTGTAAAATAAAATCATGCTACACTCCAGATTGTATCAACAGTTTTTCATAACCAATGTCTGTTACATAATAAAAATCACACAGAAAACAAAAATAGACCACAAGTGTTCCAGATGATGGAGTAATTGGTCATGTACTTGGAAATAATTATCCTTAAGAAATATTCTAAAAAATATTCTTGAAAATAAAATATATAAATTTTAGCAGATAAAAATGATTACAATATTAAATGGAAGTTCTGAAATAGAAAAATACAATAAAAATTCAAAACCAAGTGGATGTGTTTAACAAGTTAGTCCATAGCTGAAGAGAAAAATTGGTAAACTGGAAGATAAATCAAAAGAAAAAATCTAAAATAAAGCATGGGGATGCAAAAGCATGGTAAACACAGAAAATGGATGAGAGAGTATGGATATAGTAAAAGGTATAACGAGAGAACAAAAGTCAATTCTAGAATCAGAATATAGAAGTCATATGTTAAGAGTTAATTTTCCAGAACTAGACAACACCATTAGGACACAGATTTAGGATTTACTTGAACTTCAAATACATGTCAATCCCCACCTAAGCATATTATAGTAAAATTTCTAAAAACGAAAGATGAAGACAGTCTTAAAACCGGCCATAGAAAACAAAAGACATATGTCCTTCAGAG